TGTGAGGGAGGGAGTGCAAGAAGCATCTGGGGCTGAAAAATGGCTATACCCGTGGAAATGGTCAAAACCTGCATGATGGGGCTTCCCGTCGGCGCCTGAGGTAAGTGGATTAGAGACTATCGCAGTTCCACCAAAGTAGCTGTTAGCTATTGCAGCGTTACGAGCCTGTAAGACCATCAGCAATATTTTTCCATTGATCAGTGGTAAGCAGTACCTGCACATTTACAAAGAAAAACTGCAACATGGAATTCACCCAAGAAAGAAAGAAAGAAAAGAACACTCAAAAAAGAAACAAAGAGAAGAAAAAATAGTTTAGGGCTTCTAATATTCTCCAATTTTATATGATAAATAGCTGACCACTTGGCTATCTATAATATCGTTATAAAAATATTTAGAACATGAAATCATTTATCACCAACTCTAGGGATACCTATAGCTGGTGATAAAATGCAAAATTATTTTAATTTTTCATGCAAGTCAAAATTATTTTAATTAAATTTCTCAATTTAATAATTCATTGAATTTTAATATAATTTTATTAATTATTTTCAGATTTTAATTATATGTGTGCGTAAACATTTAAAATATAGGGATAAATAAAAGTTTTATGAATTCTTTAATACAAATGAATCAAAAATAATGTAAGACCATGACCAGGTGTGTGTGTATATATACACATGTATAAACTAAAGATCTAATTTAATAACTTTATAGATTTTCGTTATTTTTTGTTGGCCTATTTTCAGTTTTTTAGAGTTTTAATAGTTAAAATAAAATACATTTAAGATACTATATATATTATGAGTGATTTAATAAGTTTAGTTTATATTATTTAAGGTTTTATATGATATATATAGATAATTCTATGATTAAAAAAAACGAGAATAACCTGTTTTTTTTTACAAATTATATTGAAGTCTTTGTTTATTTCTTAATTAAAATTTCTTATTATCATATAAAAAAGATTATCAATCCTTGTAATTTTAGCATGTTGAAGACATAATTAAATGTTTTAACACAAAGTTCATTAATTTATATGTAGTTATAGATATTGTTTTCTAAGAATATAAAGAAGATTTGTTTTAGACTTTTTATAGTTTTAAGATTTTAATTAATAAAGTAGAAAAAAACATTAAATAAAAATATTTTAATCTCTATGATAAATAATTGAGTAAAACTATAATAATTAGGGTGGAAATAATACCATCTAAAAAGAATTAATCTTATTCTACAAATTTGGGTCCGAGGAGAATTAGCCATTTGAAAAGAAAAAAAAATAGTAAAGCTTGTTGGCTTGGATTTAGGGTTTTTTATTATCTTCTTTAATTTTTTAATTAGTATAGTGGTAAACTTTATTGGCTTGAATTTGAGGTTTTTATTATTATCTTTTTTAATTAGTATGGTAATAAATTTTTTTTATTTAAAATAACATAACTTAAAATTTATTTATAAAAATAGTTAAATTTGTTAAGTCGTGCATGTCTTACATGCCTCACTAATTAAGATGTAGATCTCACATGCAAGACCAATGAGATATGCATCTCTCTTATGAACTATTAATAAAATTAAAAAAATTTAATTGGTTAGATTTGAAATTTGATTTCTAGAGATTACTGGTTCAAATCTTAAAAATTTTAATGTTATTAAAGACTTACATGGTTATTAATTTCAGAGCTCGTGAAATTAGTTAAGGTGTACACAAACTGACTCGAACATTTACGTTAATAAAAAAACTATTAATTTTTTTTTTTATGTTCTTCTTATTTATCTCTCCTTTCTTTTGATGCCCTCATCTTTTCTCTCAATCTCTCTCTCTACCATGACTTCTCTCTCTTTTATATATATATATATATATATATATATATATGATTTGTATTATTTGTTGAAGTTTTTTTTTTCATAAAGCTAGAAATGCCAGAGAAAACCTCAACCATTGTAATTTTAAGATTGAGCATCTATAGTCTATGTATCTTAATAAATTATGTTATTTTTATAAATAACTTTTTAACTATGTTATTTTAAATAAAAATTTTCAATAGTTAATTTTCTTTTTTAAAAAAACTCTCCTTGAGACCTTGGGTTATTATGGTAGTGTTTTAGAGTATATTTGGTATTGTGATAGTTTTTATTGTTGTAGTTTGAAATTTTTTTTTCATAAAAAGTATTTTTAATTGAGGTTGGATTGTTAAAATATATATTTAGTTAAAATTGTGGTTAAAATTAAAGTTGAATAAAAAGTTGTTTAATGTATTTGGTTAATAATACTTTGAAAATTGAGGTTATAAAATAACTAAAAAAGATATATATTAATATTGATGATTTTTAATTTCAATATTGTAGTTTTAACTACTACTATTACATCATGAAATAAATAATACTTTATATAATATATTTTTTATTAATTCATTAAACTGTCTGTAATTCCATCAGATATGGAATCCATCTTACAAGAACGATAGCTTCCATGACTTCTTGAGCGTACAACAACATCATGTAAAATATCATCAAAACAAAATTGGGATTGCAATCAAATTCTGTAATATATTACGTCATCATGCGATCTCTTTCTAATATGATTATGTAGTGCCATTGATTAATGTTAAACACTTTTTTTTTTAATAAAATGCAATATTTGAGAAAAAAATTTAGATTTTTTCATTTTACTAGGTCAAACAAGTCTAACGCATATAGATTTGGATTAGACTGGTCCAACCATGAACAGTGGAGACACTTTCCACTGTTCACATGCAACATAAACAGTGGAGAGCAGCCCAAACAAAGGGAAACAGGAAGGGGAATGGGAAGAGTAGTGCAACGGTGATGGACTAAGGGACGATGGAAATGCTGGAGACCAGTCACTCTCCACTGTTTACATGCAAAGTGAACAGTGGACACCGAAGAGGGAATTACAATTTAGTTTTCACTGTTCACTTTGCAGAATAATGGAGAGCAACCCAAACGAAGAAGAAGGAGAAGCAGAAGTGGAAGGGAAAGAGCAGCCTGACAGTGATAGACTAAGGGATGGTGGAAATGTTGGACATCGGTCACTCTCCAGGTTCACATACAACGTGAACAATTGCTAATATATTCAAGGTTCCATTATTTGATAAAATAATACAAATTGAAGGAAAGCAACCTTCTGTTTTGTTTCTTGCTAAAAAATCTCCTTCTTTTAATGAGCAAGTGCCTTTTATGGATAAGGAATTGATAGTGTAAAACAACCTTGTCTGCCCATTTTTATTTTACAGAAGGGTTCTTGTTAGAGAATAATATAAATTATATTTTAGACCTTATCTAACAACTTTAGCTATTAGGTTGAGATGATTTCTTAACATGGTATCAGAATTTTGATGACCAAGTGATCACGAGTTTAAATCTCACTATTCCTATTTATTTGATAAAAATTAAGCACAAGGTAATATGAACTTATACAAATTTCAAACCCAAATAACTTTCATTTGAGAAGGTGTATTAGAGAATATATAAATTATATCTTGGATGTTACCTAATAGCTTTAGCTATTGGATTGAGATAATTCTTTAACAGTTTTTAGTTCACTTTAATTTTAAATAATCAAAATGTTGTATGAAAAACATAAAAAAATTGCTTCACCAAAAACTAAGATAAAACCTTATTTATTTACTAGTAGGTTACATAATTCAAATCAAAATTTTATTTTATAATCAAATACCATATTATTGAAATTGAACAAAAACGTACCAGTTACCACAAAGGCAAAGATAGGCAAATTATATCCTAAGGATAAATGCATTGTTTCATTCTAGATTCAATTGTAAACATCAATCCTATAATTTTCAGAAAAATTTTAATGTATCTTCACTATCAATATTAAAATTTTCTTTTTCTCTTGTTTTTCTTTTCTTTTTAAATTTTCTCTCTGGCTCCCATGTATATAATGGAATATCAACAAAATTAATAAATATTTTACTTTATTTTTCAAGAATTTTCACACCCTCAAAAAATTTGATTGTAATAACAACATTAAATTAACTTGAATGAATGAACAAAATGAAATTAAATTTGAAATAATATTCTCTTTTCGTCATCAGGTGTAATTAAAGGATTATTTTTTAAATATTTTAGATATCCAGATAATTTCAAAATAATAATAATTCCATTTTAGTTTTGAACTGAAAAGATATAACTTATCACGATCTCCATGTTTTATTTATTTGAATTATTGTCTTTAAAAATAAATAAATCTGATCACCTCTATTAATTTTTGAAAACAGGCTCGCTATCATTACTTTTTTAAACCCGGTCCATTACACTATGCGCTCTCCTAAGAAATGGGCCAACAGAAGCCCATAAAGCCGTAAGGAGGGAAAACCCGAAACAGCATACTTCAGACACGTGTCAGTCACCATCAGACGACAACAGCCACGTGTCAATCTGCCACCACCTTCCATTCCTTGCTTGAATAATAGGTGAAAGAAAAGAATCCCGCTTCAAACCATCAAAGAGCAGAAAACAGAAGAAAATGAAAAAGACGTTTCTTTCAAGGGCATAGACACGTTTCGATTCAGTTTCAATGGCAGTGAGAGAAACAGAGGCCTTACCTCTGCCTCCGGCTCTTCCTCGAGTATCGTCATCAAGCTCCAGAGCACGAGCCACCGCCTTAGCTCGACCCGGACCGGACCCGTTGTTAGTAATTTGTAGGTGTTTCAGCTTTGTAACTTCACTCACTGCGATTCTTTGTGTTGCCGTCAACGTTCTCTCCGCCGTTAGATCCTTTAAAGACGGATCTGATGTAAGGCTATGTATCTCTAAGTGTATGTATGCATCAGGTGGGTGATTGAGTGTGCGAGCTGTTGATTTCTGATTGGTTGTTATTTTGTGTAGGTTTTTGATGGAATATTCAGGTGTTATGCGGTGGTGATTGCGTTTATTGTGGTGGTTGCGGAGACTGAGTGGGGATTTGTTGTTAAGTTCTGGAAGGTTCGTTCTTTTTACTGAGTTCTTGAATTTTATTTTATTTTATTTATTTATTACTTGTTGTTTAATGTGTGAAAATTGGAGTTTGGTCTTGAATTGAATTAATTAAATTATTATGCTGGCTGGTGGTGCCAATGTTAACAGTTTGAATTCATATGCTGCAGATATTGGAGTATTGGGCAGGGAGAGGCATGCTGCAAATCTTGTAAGTTATTTGTGTTGACGAGGGCTGTAAATGTGCATTAGGCTCGCTAGCGTGGAGTCATTAATATCTCCTTAGGGTTTGAAATGATGGGTTTTTTCTTTCTTTTCAGTGTTGCAGTAATGACGAGAGCTTTCCCTGACTATTCATCAAACCAGAAGGAGCTTGTTCTTCTACAAAATATAGCTAGCTATATGCTCCTTGCTTGTGGTCTAGTTTATGTTATTTCAGTAAGAAAATAAATGAACTAGGACTTTGGTTTAAGTTGATCTTGGTTGAGTAGAATAACTAACTTTGAGTTTGGGTTTGCTTTTCCTTTTGGGAATTTCAAGACTAATCCAATGATATGTTGCTATTGATTGTGATTCCAATTTCCAGGGAATTCTGTGCATTGGCTTTCTCAAACGGTCTCGTCAGAAGAAAGAAACTACGAGGGAGCAGGCTGTCAAGGATCTGGAGGTAAGCTTTGTATTGCTGTAGCTCCTGAAATGATGATTGGTATTGAGTGTTCATATGAGCTCCCTGTTCTGCATTTTACTCCATGCTTGTATGTGTATGCTGTTGCTCCAAGTTATGCAATTATGTGTTAGCTGTGCCATTACTTTGTGGAGGTCATGTTGATATGAAGTTTTAGCAACAAACAGGAACACGAGTTCCAAGTTTTCTATAAGCATCCTTATTATGTACAATGCATGCAAGAAGAGAAATATATTAATAACTCTTAATAATCTGAGAGTGAAATGGTAGCCAATTTGAGGAAATGAATCAAAATTATGTTGTGCTCTCTAAAACTTGAAGTGCTTTGAGCTGTGATTGCTTGTTACCATAATGCTGTTGAAAGGGTTCTGATATACCCTAAATAAAATCTATAAGCAAACAGGCTTCTGTCATCAGGTATGGGGTTTATATGAATCCCTTTTTCATTCTTCTGATTTAGGTGACAGTAAGTAGTCAGGGATGTAGTTTGCACCTGTGTTTAAAATCAGGCATTAAGATTGTGAATCTGATGTCCATGTGCTTGGACAGCAGTTAACATTGTGAGAGTACGCAGCTGGTTTTATTAGACAAATGGTGCTTTCTTGTTAATGATTTATTGATGTTTCTGTCTGTCTTTTTTACAAACTTTGATTGGAACTCAGATTTTCCTCTGTTGATGTTTCTGTCTACCATTTTAACAAATTTTGGTTGTAACTCAGATTTTCCTCTATTAACATACATGGATTAACAATCACAGGAATTAGAGCGGCGGAGGGAGGAGCTTGAGCAATTACTAATCGCAGAAAGGATTTGATGCAATTTGGGTCTGTGTTGTTGTTCATATAACCTAAGGGACAAGTTAACCGACCTAGATGAATCCAACACTAGGTGAATCTCATGTTTCTGTGTTATTGTTGTCTCACTCTCTGATTCTGTTATACTTTTTTTTAGAACTGGACATCCACTCGAGCATATTTGTAAAGTTTGTGTAGCTCAAGTGCAAAGCCATGTGTCCGGTTCCTTCTTGCAGTCTGGCAATAGTGATTGCCACTTTAATTTCTTTATGTTACTTTGAAGCTTTGTTGCAATGGCGTTTAATGGCACTGATGGCTGCTTCACTTGTACGCATGGTATTTTCATTCTTATTCTTTATTTATTTTTTTGGCAGATGCACTCTTAAATGTTTTCTCCCAAGCAGACCATACTTTTTTATTTGCTTAAAGGATCATAGAAGGAAATTATGATGAAATCATTGATGCATGTATCTTTAACTTGTATCCTTAAACTAGAATTGCTAGAGATTTCTTGTAGATTGTATTCAATGAACTTTATCAAAGGAGTTATGTCTCTCATAATTTGTAATTGTCTACAAAATTTACCAGTGTCTAGTTGTTTGTGTCGATTACGAAACTAATCTACTCTTTCAGAAGCTGAAAATTGATAATTGATTGCATATTTCTTGATGATGGAGATCCTTTATATGTTGATCTGTGACTGCTAGCCATAGACATCAGCAATGCCTTCTCTACATGTCTAGTTACCCTCTGTTCGATCAAAGCTATTGCATATTCCATTAGCTTTGCATCACACGGCAAAGTGAGATGCCCACTGCTAGGTAGTCCAAACTCCTCTCCTGCCAGTTTAAGTAGCCCTTGGACAATTTCATTGTAGATATAATTTAAAGGAAGCAAAAACCGTTTCTGATCAGCAGAGTACACAACAAAATGGCCCTTCTCAGCTGTTGTTGATGTGCTACAACCGCTTGTGTCTGGCTGTGGCAGTGTGATTTTTTGTCGCCTTATAGCGGCCATCTTCTGCATTTCCTTGCCAGTTTTATGAGCTTCTTGGCACTGATCATCTTGTTTCTGGAAAATATTTCACGAGTGAAGTAGAAGAAGTAACTTTAGTAACTTGAAATACAGAATGCTTATTTTGCGATGGGTAGAGGGCAAAGGAAGGGAGTACATTATATTAACCAAGCCACACACGTTCCTTATCAATGGGAAGCAAAACCATGTGATTAGCGGACGTGGAAGGTTGTGTATGAGGTGGGCTTGTTTGCTTGTGTCTAGCAATCAACTCATCAAGGTGGAGCATAGGGATGGTTATTTCTTTGCTCCTCTGCCCGGTAGTTGAACAGCAAAGCATTTCAAAATAACGCTGACTCATTACTTTACATCACAGCAGAAAGTGAAACGCAAAAATGAAGTAAGCAGGCATGAATTTGAACATGGTTGCACTTCCTGCAGCTGCATGTAACGAGTGCTTTATGAATGTTGAAAGCTGGAAGTTTGTGGAAATTGGAGTCCAAACATGTAGTAGAAAAACAACATTTCAGACTCATCATGTCGGAGAATTGCCAAACAGAAGCAAGAAAATGATGTTCAAAAATCATTCCTGTTCCTACCTGGAATGTGATTACCTTAGTCTAGAGCTGACAGTACAGTGGACTTGAGGACCTATTTCTGATCAAAGGCAATTTGTAAGCAGAATCTTGAACCTCATCTCTTCCTGTCCTGGAGGCTTGAATCTTTTTTCACAGCAGCTTCTATGAATTCTATTAGCAGTTTGTAAGTCTGGGAGTGACGGTCTCCAATTGATATATTATCACGCTCCAACTTAACTGCTAGAGTTTCTTGAACAACAAATTTCATACATACAACTTCTCGAAAAAGGGCATGGTACCTTCTTCAAGAGTTTCTTGAAATATAAAAATTGAGATGTGAACCAATCCATCACTGCTTCAATTGGAGAATCACTAGAGGTTTAGTTGAATTAATAAACATCTTTGATCAGAAGTATTAAGCAATGATGCACTTCTGAAGTTATGTAGTTGATCTGTGTTCTTAGGATTCTGATCCATACAGTTCTAAAGAACTTAATAAACATCTCAGAAACCTTCGAGGAAATGAATCATAGCATTGTTTTTCCTATAAAACTTCAAGTTTTGTACTTTTCATCTGATCAGGTGCGCTTTCTTTGCTTTGTTTACAAATTTAATCCTGTTAATCAGATGCTGCACATTGGTAACTGATGATCTGTTAGTTGATGATGGAGATTTGAATATAATGAGCAGGGACTGCTTGTTATGGACATCGATAGTGCATTCTCTACATCACAAGTGACCTGCTGTTTGATCAAAGCAATTGCATATTACATCAGCTCTGCATCACACGACAAGGTGAGAGGTCCGTTGCTAGAAAGTCCAAACTCTTCTTTCTCAGATAATTTCATTTTTAAGATAATCTTAAGGAAGCGAAAACCGTTTCTGATCTGCAGAGTACCCAACAAAATGGCCTTCTCAGCTGTTGATGATGTGCTACAACTGCTCGTGTAGTCAAACTTGAGAAATTTTGGTCAAGATAAAAAAATCCTCATTTATCTGCTTCATGGATTGATAAAGAGGAAGTGTTTACGAGGCCTTTGTAATTCAGTAATGCTGAGCTAAAAGAATTGCTGGTGAATTCTCTGAATTTGTATTAATATAAACTTGATAATTTAATTTTTTTCTGACTCTAAAATTTATCAATTTATACTTGTATCAATTTATACAGTGTCTACAATTCTAATTCCACTCTTCAGAAGCTACAGATTGGTAATTGATGGTCTGTTACTTGATGATGGAGATCCGAAAACATTGAGCAGCTACTGATGGCTATGGACACCAATAATGCCTTCTCTAAATCTCTTGTGATTCCCTGTTTGATTAAAGCAATCACATATTCTATAAGCTCTGCATCGCAGGGCAATGTGAGAGGCCCATTGGTAGGTAGTCCAAATTCCTCTTCCGCCAGTTTGAGTAGCTCTCTGACAATCTTACTGTTAAGATAATTCAGAGGAAGCAAAAAGCGTTTCCGATCAGCTGAGTACAGAACAAAATGGCCCTTTTCAGCCATTTCTGATGCGCTACAACTGCTTCTATCCATTTGTGGCAAAGCAATTCTTTTACGCCTTAGAGCAGCCAGCTTCTGCCATTTCTTTGCCAGTTTAATGAGCTTCTTTGCACTGATCATTTTGTTGCTTGGAAGTATTCTTTTCTAGTGAAAAATCAAAGGAAGAAATCTTTAGAATTTAGAACGTTGAATGCTGATTCTCTGATGGATAGATGGCAAAGGAAGTGACTATTATATATTAACAAATCCATAAACAGTCCCTTTCCATGGGAAGCAAAACCATGTGATGGGTGCATGTAAGAGGTTGTTTATGAGGTGGGCATGTTTTCTTGTGTTTAGAAATCAAACCAGCTAGGTGGAGCATAGCAGTTGTCAATGATGTATTCTGTCTGTTAGTTTAACAGCAAAATATACCAAAAATATGCTGACTTTATGACTGCAGGTCCCAACAGCCTCTACAAACCACAGAAAATGAAGATAAATTAGTAAGCTGACATGAATGTGTATCTGCTTTCTATGATTTCATTTAACGAATACTCAATGATTGATGCAAGCTAGAGGAGCCGTGCAAAATTAAATCTGTCGTCTATAAATTTCATTGAGAGACAGAATATTGGACCCAGCCCCTGTGCAGCTACCGAACAGAAGTAGGGAAAATGATGGCTCACAAGTCCTGTTGGAGCTCGATTACCAGAGTCTAGCGATGATCATACAGTGGACCCGAGGAGTGAGGACCTATGGCTGAACTGGGCAATCTGTTAGTTAAGGTTTCAGATAAGTATCTCATCCTGTCTTGTGGTTCAATGCAGCAGGACCTATGAATTTTGTTAACAGGTCATAAATTCCGTTGTCTGATTGAATGATAGCAAGGTGATATGGAACTGTGTACAATTTGACAGTCTTGATGCTAAAAGTAAAATCAACTGAACTTACCCCTTCTCTTTCACATGATGGATTTGTATATGGGGAGAAGAATTCAACTAGCAAACGTAGAGTTCTTACAGCCTACTTATCCATGAACTATTTTTCACAGGTCAGACCTAGCTTCTCCGAAAAGGACATGGTACCTTGTTCAAGAGTTGTGCGGTAAACTCAATGTTGATTGTTTTACCCCTCAAGGAGTTCACTAGAATCACAAAACATTATTGATCAGTGTGTTAAGAAAATGGCCCTGTGTGTTCAACAATGATTTACTTGCTACTGTCAGCTCCATCTGCACTAGAAAGAAACAAAATTTACTGAAAGAAAATGGAAACCATATTCGTTTGCTAGTTAGAAATGCACATGGAAGGAGATTAGTTATTGCTGTGATGAGGCTTGAGTACGCTATTATCTGTTGCCATTGCCATAGTCATTTCCAAAAACATAGCATGAAGCATGTGGTTGATCAGTGTGGTTAAGCCCTAAATAGTATTTTCCAGATAATTATTGTGAAATAGAAGATCAACTATCAAATGATTGTAATTGATTATTTTAGACTGATCATTATGATTTCTCCATTAGCCAGAAGACAGTGTTTGTTGCTACCTATGATCCCAGTAGGTTGATAATCCCATTTCCATGCCTAATCTAGACCTTCTGGTTCAAACTGGAACTTCTAAGAAGGGGAATTTTAAGATCATATCTGGAGAGGTCAATGTGATGATGTCTTATGATTTCAGTGTTGGGTTCTGTACATCATACATGCAGTTAAAATAATAAAATAAAATTATTGAAGAGTTTCTAGAATTTTATTATATAAATCTAGAGTTATTTAGAGATTTATTATCTAAAAATCTAATTTTCTTCGGTTTTAAATAATTCTTTAAAGATCGGGTTGTCGCAAATCATAAATTGTTTAATTGTCCGGTCTCTAATGGTAATTTACTCGAATTAGCAGTAAAAAATATTCTAATTAATCTCTATTTAGAAGAAAGGAATCACCATGTCTAGAGTGCTAGCTTTCTATTATGTAACTTGCGTAGTTTTTTTTATTTAACAGACAATCATTAAAAAATAAAAGACATAACTTATTATTTATAAGAAAATCTAAAAAACCCTATAAATTGGCAAAATATTAATTCACCACATGAATAATATCCTTATATTAATTCAGGAAAATTTTAGAAATTAACTCAATCAAGTCTTTACTTGATTTTTCTATATCTAGAAATATAATCCTTGTATTAAGTATATTCTAGTATGTAATTTTTAAAATATATTTTAATCAAGTCATACTTAATTAAATCATTTCAGTTTAACTTCTAACTAGTTATTCTCAATGTGCACGACCCATTAGATTCCTAATATGTTAATCTATATATGAATTATAATTCTAATTAAATAGAATTAAAAAATTTAATTTATTATCAATTCAATAATTAATTAATTTATATTTGAAGATCAGGTGTATTGTCTAACAACGTGCCATGATCTTTAAATATTAGAAAAATCATGAGTTGTTTGACTTAATCTTTAAATGATTGGTTTCTCAATGTAATTAATATCTTTTCATTAATAACATTTTGATTTAACATTAAAGCATAAAGTATGTTTGCCATGTTAAATTATATTTGTTTTCTACATAATAGTCATCGATCATTTGAATATAATCTGAATTTCTTTTCAAATCTCATTTCACTTTGACCAAAAGATTTATCAGTTAATATTATTTGAATACAGATGAGATATTTTTTCTAATTTATACAAAGTGATGAATCCTCTTATGATCACTCAAATATCTTCATATAGTTCATGTTATACCTAATATCTACTCTTTTATTACCTTGATTAAAATAACATGAAACATGGTCAAAGCATAATATTTTTTGTATAAGATAACTTAGTGATGTCAAATATAATGATTGCTTACATAATTGTCACATGAACCTTTTTATACACATAAATAATCTCTACATGAGAGATTTTCATGTGAATCAGTTTAGTATATATGTCTTATGACAAACATCTACATATTAATTTTAAATATTTCTTATATATAAGAACATCTACTTCCTTTCATAAAAAAATTAATAATATGTATGAGTCTTTATAACTCTAATAAATATCTAATATTTAAAATAGTATTGACTATGAACATTTTAAGAACAATATTTTGATACAAAACAAATTGCATATATATATATATAAATATAAAACTTATAACTAACATATTAAACTAAAATTTAGTTGATTCCTTCACGTAAATGTTTGAAGGAGTCTGATTCACAAGGCTTAAACCTTGGAAGGCTGATTAGACTTTAGGCAAATAAATAAAAGCTATGTTTTTCCTTTAAGACTGGTAAGTTCTCTAATTAAGAAGTGATTGCTCATACAACTTAGACTTCTTGTTCAAGAAGAGGAAAAGAAATCTTCTCTTTGCTTTTCAGGATAGTTGAGGAGAAAATAAGATGAGACGTTTATAATGCAAAATCGCAATACTATTTATATCATTAAACCAGAATTTCTGGTGAATTCACTAAATTTATATCATTGATAATGAAAATATTCTACAAAATCTATCTAGTTGTTTGCATTCTTTACAAATCTAATTCTGCTCGTCAGAAGCTGCAGATTGGTAATTGATGGTCTGTTACTTGATGATAGACATCAGAAGACAATGAGCAGCGGCTGCTGGCTATGGACACCAACAATGCCTTCTCTACAGCTCTTGTGACTCTCTGTTTGATTAAAGCAACTGCATATTCTATAAGCTCTGCATCGCAGGGCAACGTGAGAGGCCCATCACTAGGCAGTCCAAACTCCTCTTCTGCCAGTTTGAGCAGTTCTCTGACAATTTCACTGTTAAGATAACTCAGAGGAAGCAAAAAGCGTTTATGATCAGCCGAGTACACAACAAAATGTCCCTTATCAGCCAATTCTGATGCGCTACAACTGCTTGTCTCCATTGGTGGCAATGCGATTCTCTTACGCCTCAGAGCAGCCAGCTTCTGCCATTTCTTTGCCAGTTTAACGAGCTTTTTTGCACTGATCATTTTGTTTGTTAAGCACAAAAACTTAAGAGGAGTCAAGTAGGGGAAGAAAGCTGAATGCTGAATGCTTGTTTTGTGATGGATAGAAGGCAAAGGAAGCGGCTATTATATGTTAACAAATCCGTGAACGGTCGCATTCCATGGGAAGCAAGGCCATGTGATGGGTGGATGTGAGAGGATGTTTATGAGGTGTTCATGTTTTTTCAAGTCCGAAATTAAAACCATCGAGGTATAGCATAGCGGTGGTTAAGCCTGTACCTTCTGTCTAGTTGTTGAACAGCAAACTGTGATCAATCAAAGTTGATTCATTGTTGAGACTGCAACAGACACTGGGATCCACAACAAATGAAGTAAACAGTAAGCAGGTATGAGTCAGAATCTGGATCCGATGGCTGAATGTATTGAGTAGTCAATGAATGGTGAAAGCATAATGGACCCTTTTGTCTGAGAACTGCCAGACAGAAGTTGGGAGAAGATGGCTCATACGCCTATCCGAATTAGATGGTTGTACAGTGATCATGAGGACCAATGTCTGGAGCTAGTTCTACAGCGATATAGTTCATATACAGAGTCTCTCCTTTTCAATTCAAGGCCAATGTTCTTGATGTTTTCATAACAAAATAATCGTATTTAGCAATAAAGAGCAATAGATTAATGAAAGTGATAAACTTGAACACAATGGTTTTATTATTATTCTTATTATTTAGTTAGTTTAAGTGTTGCTAATGTAATTAATTTAAGTTACCATATGACTCATCTTAATGATAAGGATGTTTATTTTTAAGGCCAAGATAATTGAATTATGATTATGGATTACTTTTGTGAAGGTTGCACTTCTCAAGAACTTGGTATCGCTTATTCATGGGAAAATTTTTCTGCATATATATATATATATACACACACACACACACATATATATAAATATATATTTATATATATGTGTGTGTGTGTGTGGGTGTGATTATATATATATATATATAATCCCCAAAATTTTGGATGCTAACTATGTTTACAAGTACAAATGATGGAAAAGTATGAGTTATTATATAGAAAGGATAGCATTATCCTATTGATATTGATATTGTGACTAATCATAATCAAACATAATAAAATTATTTCTTAATATATATATATATATATATATATAATTAACTGAACATAAAAGAATTGATTAATTCTTGCTGCTTAGTCAACCGGTCGATTGAAATTGAGCAACTAGTTAACCAAATCCATCAAGCTAACCCATTAACTGGTTGATTAGGATTTCAGAGTCTCAATCCACTAGTCTTTCTAGAATTGTAGACCCTTTAAATTTCAACTTATACATCAAAAATCCATAACAATTAATCCACAACATTTCAATTAATCCATCATCTAAACTCTGAAACATAAAATCCAAATCCCTAAATCTCAACAAATTCAAAATCATAATTAAAAACAACAATTATTATAATATTTTGAAATGAAAAGAAAGAATTGATGGGAAATGACAACAATGCCATTGGAGAAATAGATTTGAGATATAAATGGTTGGAGGACATTTTATTAATGGAACAAAGAGTTGGTAAATATAAATAGAAAGAGAGAGAGAAAAAAAAATTAGGCTTGAAAAGGAAAAATTGAGAGTGAGAAGGAAGATGAAGAAGAAGAAGGGGGGAAAGAAGGGGAAGAGAATTTGAGAAAATAAATTTATAAGGTAAGATTTATGTTTTATTATGTATAATTGTTGGTATTAATTAAGATTTCAAATATATTAAGATTTAGGGATTTGAAGTTTATGTTTTAGGTTAGATTGATGAGTTGATTGAAATGTTATGGATTAATTCTTATGAGTAATGGTTTAATTGGTTGGTTTTTAGATGATTTTATTAGGAATAATGATTTTGAGATTAATTAGTTTAATTGATGTATTGGGGATCAAGTTATGACAAACTTGGTATTACAACTTTAGGTTAAAGAAATAATAGTATAATTAATTTCATAACATATAGAGCATTAGGATTTGTATCGTTTTGTTCGTTGTCTTTGAGATTTTGAATTCTCATCAAGCATGTCTTCTTCGATTCTTTGAATTTTGTGATAGATATGCTTCTTTATAATTCTATAATAATTATCATCCTATTATTCTAACATGACTTAAGTGCTCTCACTTCTTAAAAAAAATATCAAGAAATAAACAAATAGTTGGTACTAGTAAAGTAGGTGATGATTATGACGACGTTTTTATTATGCAGTTAAGGATTGCAAGGCAGAGAAGGTGGCGCAATGTACCCACACCCTGATTTATTGAGGAGGTACCTCCACCAATAAAAGAGGAGCCTTAAGAGCTAGAAAAGAATAATACGGTTAGTGAAACAGGTATAGGGGTAACAAACCTTAAGTTTGTTATAGAATTCCAACAACTTAGCTAGTCTATGTAGATCTAGATAAAGTTTAGTATGGAAAGAGATTAAAAAAGGGATAAAGACGTACCAATATTATCCCATATTGTTCACAGATTCAATGTGTTATTGAATAATTTCATGAAATTGACACCTCCTAGCTTTACTAGGATGGATAAGTTAGAAGATTTTCAAAGGTTTATAAATGATAATGACAGTGGTATGAAGCTTTAGGGTGTATAGACCATCAAGTTATAAGTTTGACATTGTTGAGATTGGAGGTAGATGTGGCTATCTTTTAATTTAAGTTTAGAAAGACAACAAGGCTAGCAAAGGCTTAATGGACATGGAAGGAGTTTAACACCATGCTCTTGGATAAATTTCTTCCTCGGAGTGTTAGGGATGTTCAACTCAATAAGTTTAAGAGGCAATCTTAAGGGAGTGTGACAATAGATGAGTATGATCTAAATTTTACTCAACTATCAAGGTATGTTGAGCATCGTTTATCGATAGAGGAATGGAGCATAAAAAGGTTCATTCGAGTAATCAAATTCTTGATGTTTATGATGATGGTGTCTCAGTTGTTCTCATCATACTTCCTGAAGGTTGATTGAGGTATAAGAAGTAGAGGACATGGCTACAAGCCACTTTAAGAGGCTTAGAGAAAAGGGTTAGTCTTTTCAATAGTAAGGATTGAATATAGGTCCGTTTAGGAGACAATGTGACTATCAAAGCTCATGGGCTATGAGAATGTTTGATAGAAATTAAATGTTTCTTGGGATTAACCAATTATTATCGAAGGTTTATGAAGAACGTTTTTCAAATTTTTACACCATTGACTAAGTTAATATAAAAAAATATTATGTTTCAGTGGTTTAAAGCTCAAGAGAATAGTTTCTTGGAGTTGTAGCAAAGATTGACTACATCACCTATGCTAAAAGTACCATTTAGTTATGATGGTTATATAGTGTTTTGTTATGTCTTGAGAATGAGAATAAGATGTGTTCTAATGCAGCATGACATGGTTATTGCCTATGCTTTACCACAATTAAAAAAGCATGAACATAAATATCTTATATATGATTTAGATATGACAACTATAATTTTTGCTTTAAAGATTTGAAGGCTCTATATAACGAGATTTATGAGATCTTCATAAATTATAAGAGTTTGAAATACTTTTTTCAGTGAAGGGATCTAAATATGAGGCAGATGTGATGGATGAAGCTACTGAAGGTTTATAATTGTAATATATAGTATCACCCAAACAGGATAAATATTGTGTTAATACTTTGAGTAGAAAATCATCTGTGAGCTTAGCTTATATTTGAGAGATACAAAGACCTTTAATTATGGAATTGTATGGGTTAGTGGCTGAAATAGTCAAAAGAAGAAGAAACAAAACAAAAGAAACAAAGTTATATTTAAGAAAAGTAAAAAGAGCATATAAAATAAATATTATAATTTATACAAGAATTTACCTTCCCGACAATAGCGCCAAAAACTTGACACGATCAAAAGATTGATGTCTTCTCCCAAGTGTAGGAGTGTTAAAGTAATAAATAACCTGACAAGACTGGGGAGGAACCATAGGGAGGTTAACTGTATAAATTATAGATAATAATAATATAACAACAACAACAATAACAATAAAAGTAACAATAATAACAACAATAGTAATAGTAGTAGTAGTAAAGAAAAAGAAGAATAAGAAGAAGTTGATGAGAACTTGGACATGGAAGATTAATATTAGGATTAAACAATGATAACAACAAATATCAATGTTAGAGGATCTACTAATAGTATGTAAAAAAAGTATAGTATAAACTCTTATTATTTAATTGAAAACTACACACAAAGAAGATTCCAATCAGATTATAAATTGTTAACATGATTACATTAGTTATCTTATTCGATTAATGCTAATACTTGTAAATGTTGTCAAGCATTCATGGTTATAAGTTATGTTAACAGCAAATCAAATTCCTTTCATAGCACAGGTGTAGGTTATACCATATGGTTGAACTATGAAGGTGCCAAGTATTTCTTCTGCCAAGTATTTCTGGTACCAACATAAATCTAGATTAGTCATTTAACAAGCAAAATATTAAAGAGTGAACAAGATAACAAATACAAAACATGTTAGTATCAAACATTAAAGTCCATATTAAGTTTAAATTATACTTATTCTTACACCATTAGTATAACCTTTTCACCTTGACATAATAAACTTAGCTAAACATAAT